GATAGAAAATACTTTGCAATTGGATTAAAACTTTGAAAACGATTTCTAGTGAAAAGTTAAATAAAATCCTCTAGGTTATACAATCATGTATGAAAAATATCGTTCTCCAATAAATAAATACAATCAAACCAGAAGCACTAAGCTAGGGCTATATCACAGCCCTAGTAAAGCTTTTAGCCGCTCATAACTGAAATGGACTTCTTCATGGTTGGGAAAAACATTTTTGCCACCATAGGTTAATCCCTTCTTTCTTCTTTATTCTTCTCCTCTGATTTCAGCCTTTAGCTATTGTGTTTATCCTTGTACTAATGGTGTAGAGAATCTCTTTAAATAAGAGAAGAATAACCCAAAATATCCCTTTTCCAAATAAGAGATCGATATATGGAAATTCTGCCAAACTCAAACTCCAAAATTCGAGCTGACTTCCAGCCCAGTTTTGACATAGTAAACATCATTTTCACGAAATTTTCTTGAAATACAAATTTGTAGATTTTTTAATTTCCTTTCAACTTGCGCAAAAATTGAGCCATTTTAACCCTCGAGCAAATAGATACAGACAGAATATTAAAACGGGTTCAAGTTCCAAATTTTGGAGAAAGTTTCCTAATTGGAGAGGGATTCTTCCTTTTCTTCTTGTTTCCATTCTCATCAGCTTGTGGCCTTTCTCTTGGGCTCTTTCTAGGTCTAATTGGATTTGGATCTTATTCATTGCTCGGCCCAATGGATGTGATCTTATAACCTCTTGGATATCGTCTTTTAAAGGCCAAAGTCATTGGTTTTGACTAATATTATAAAACTATTACTAAGAGAATAAAATATGCAAATTAAAGGCTAAAATGTATAACATTCAACACCTAACACTTTCCAATCACCGTATCATTTTGAGTTAAGGGTAAATTTGAAAAAAATAAGATTCAACAAAAATTTTAAATCTTCCAAGGAAACACTACAAGTGTAGAAACTATTGAAGCTAGTAAAAAAAATAAAAAATAAAAAATCTACAAAATCATCTTTTAATTTTTTAAAAGACAAAATTTTGTCCAATTCAAATATATGGTTAATATTTACACGAGGATTTGAAAATGCATATTATAAACAACTTTTTTTAACTTTAGTTATTAGAATAAATTGATGAACTAAAGTTAAAATAAGTTGTTTAAATAAATAAATTCAAGAAAAGAAAAGAAAAAAAACAAAAACAAAAACAAAAAGATACCCTGCACACATAGTGTCATTGTCATAGCATAAACAAAACTATTATACTATTATAATGATTACTATTATAATAGTATATTATTATTATACTACTATATACTATTTTATCCAAACGTGCCACGGTGGCACTGTTTGGAAGATCTTCAAAATACCTTGTATATCAACATCATCCATAATTCATATCAACAAAACAGAACGTGACCGGATATTCAAGCTAGTATTAATTTTGAACACCAACAAACTGTTCGCAATGACCCTTGACTTCAGATATTCAAATCTAGAGTATTATCCAACGGTCAGAATTAAAGGAATAGCTACTCCTCATCCACAGGTGATCGCAACTTAGGGAGGAACTTTCCTTCTCACGTCCTACGACCACCCTCCGAACTTGCTATTTTGGGGAAGACACAATCCTCTCTCTTTCCCCTTCTCTCTCTATATATTCATTTCCACTCATTCTTCCACTCTCACACCTCTCTCCCACTTCAACTTTCTCTCTCTAGATTTCTTTTCTCTCCCTACACTCCATTTCGGAATAATCCAGCTTCAGCTTGCTTACTCTACTGTTTCTCTCTCTACATTTGTTATCCGAAACTTGGATAACTTTGACAATGGCCACTCACGAGGAAATCTCAGCTCTCCAATTCATCAGACAACACCTCCTCGGTGAATTATCTCCCGTGAGTTCGAGCTTCGTCTCCGACGAAGTTAGCACCAGTGATCTATTCGAATTTATCCCAAATTCCATCACTTTCGAGCAAATTCAAAATGATTTCTTTAAATTCGAATCAAAACCTCAAATAATCGATCTCACCAGCCCAAAGTCGTTGAATTTGGACTGTCAATCGAATTCTGAGCAGAGATTCAACGACCGCAGGCCTTCGTTGAAGATCGATGTGGCTCCGGTAAAGAAACTTGAAGTTTTGGAATTAGCCGAGTCGACTCAGCCATCGACGCTACCTTTGGATACAGAGGAGGAGAGAGTGAACTACAGAGGAGTCCGGCGAAGGCCGTGGGGCAAGTACGCGGCGGAGATCCGAGATCCGAACCGGCGCGGGTCTAGGGTTTGGCTCGGCACATTCAACACCGCCATTGAAGCCGCCAAAGCGTACGACAGAGCCGCATTCAAGCTGCGTGGAAGCAAAGCTATTCTCAACTTTCCACTCGAGGTCGGAGGGAAGTCGTATGACACAGTCGCCGCCGTGGACGGCGGCCGGAAAAGACAGAGAGACGTGGAGGTGGAGGCGGAGCAAAAGCCGTTGAAGAAGGAACAGTTGCCGGAATCTGACACTCCTCATCCGTTAACGCCGTCATCTATTTGGAATGCCTTCTGGGATGAAAACATCAACGGTAGCCTTACCGTCCCCCTCTTATCGCCGTTATCTCCCCACCCGCCATTTGGTTATCCTCAGCTTATGGTCATATGATATTATGAACATCTGAAATATATGGAGTGTATATAAAGGGAGGAGGGGGCAAAAGATACTGGTTTTTCAAAAAATGGAGATATTTAAATGTTGATTCAATTTATTTATTTATTTTCTCATAATCATAGAATAAACCGGTTGATTTCTTGGAACCACTTCTCTTCTCTTGAAAGAAAGAAATTCGATACTGTATAAAATCAAGATAACAAATAGTTTGGTAAGAAGACTAACAAATGAATGCAAGTTATATCAGAAGGAATGTGAATTATGCGGGGCAATGGATTCCAAGGGTTGTTAGTGTGAAGTGAAAAATGGATTGACGACGTGTTTTGCTTCTGGGAAGGAATGTCAACAATTTTTATATTTTGTTGAAAAATACCATGCTAGGTAGTTTTTACAAAGACAGAATGAAAGCCTGTTTCGAGATCTATTAGAGTAGAGGATCAAAAGCAGCAAGGAAGAAGTGTTGGCGATTGCAAGAGCACCAACCTCTATCCCAGAAGCAAGAAGAGATCGATTTGGTGATGTTAAAGTAGATTCTAAGTTTAATTATTTGAACTTGGAATTTGCTAGGAATAAATGAATATTGTGAAATGGTGAAGAAGGAATGAGATGCTAGGTTCAAGATGGAGTTATGAAGAGATACTTGTTTGAGGTGGAGCTATAGAGGAGAATGTGAAGATAAAATTTTGAGCCAAGGTGGAGATTGTTAGAGTTATGGGAGAATTTTATTATGGAATAACACAACTGGTTGCGTTTTAGCGAAACAGATTGCGTTTGGACATAATGGTTGGATCAATGTTTGAAGAAGCAGAACCGATTGCGTTTTAGCGGAACCGGTTGTGCTTGTCAAATATGTGTTTTTATCTATTTTATTTCTCAATTGTGCGTGTAAAATTTTAACACCACGATTGCAAATATAGTCTGAGTTTTACCCGATTTGTATAAAGGGATCACTTTATCTAGGTCTCATGGATTAGCCGAAACTCGAAGTCTCCAGTTATCTAAAAAAATACCCTAGAAGGAAATAAATTACACCTTAAAGTGTATCTACACACCCCATGAGACAAGTTATTTGATTGTCTGTGAATCCAATGCAAAGACTAGCCTTCAAATTGATGGAGCAATACACTCATATCATCTAAGACCATTGAATCTAAATCGGCCGAGTTTCATTTGTACAATGTTGAGAATAGGTTTCAAAAATAACATGCCTAAAACCTCTTTGTATAGGAAATTGAAAAGTCGGTGTTGATTGGATATCTGAAATATACTACATGTCTATATAAAAATTAACTAGATTTATTTTTTAATGCACTTAATCAATTGAATTGTTTTTTATTCATTTATAAGCAATCTTATCTTATATCTTATACTTCTAAAAATTTTTTAATTTCACAGCAATATTGTTGCAACTTCTCATCCTTTGTAGTTCTTGTTTTACCAAAGCGACATTCAATATACACTTAGTTTTAGTTATCTTGAGCCTCTTGATTGTAGGGCTTCTGTTAGCACTATTTTCTTAGTTTTAAAATGTAAAAATCTTGAACCTTTTTGATTTTGTCTCAAGTTTTGAAGTGTGAAAAATGCCTTTTTAAAGTCCACTGTGCAATTAGGTTACTTTTAATATAAAATAATAAAAAATCTATAGCCAAAACTCATTTCATATTGTAGGGCACATCTCTTCAATGTCAATTGGTACAGTAAACACACTCATAATTTAGAGAAATTGAATGAAATAGAAAATTTATAGGAATTGATCAAAAGTAGCATCAAGTGAAAATTTTCAACTGTTCACAAACTTGTATGTGTATATATTAAGATATTCTTGGCATATGTTTGTGTAGAATATATACAATTCTGTGTATATATATGTTTGCATGTATGCTTGTGGATAGCAAGAGGGACTTGGCTCTAAAAGAAATTAGGCACCAGTTACTTAAGGTAGGCCTAGGTGCTCCCAAAAATTAGGACTCTCCTCAAGAAATACACGTGGGAGAGACTTGGTTGTGACCACAGGTGTCCCAAAAGATTAGGACTCTCCTAAAGTCTCAACATTTGTCCCCAACGGTCATACACTCCAAATAAGCATTCCCTTTAGAATAGGCTCTCTTCAATCTCTTCTTTTTACTCAGTCTCACCACCACCCACCAGCAAATCCGCTCATATCAGACCTGTTCAGATCAATGCTGCCCATTTGGACTTTCAACAACAATACTCTATCCCCTCTATCTCACACACACACAGGTCTTTCCTATCATCATCTTCATCACATTTCCATAACATGTTACTTCACATTCCTCCTCATTGAATTGATTTCTGTACAATTGTGTGTGTGAAAAAAAAAAGAAAGAAAAAATGACCCTTAAGGGTGGCACGAGCCAAGCTTGCGCCGCGTGCAAATACCAGAGGAGGAAGTGCACTTCAGACTGCCCACTCGCGCCATATTTCCCACCTGACCAACCTAAAATGTTCCAAAATGCACACAGACTCTTTGGTGTAAGCAACATATTGAAAATACTAAAGCATATCGATCCGAGCCAGAAGTTGGAGGCCATGAGGTCCATCATATGCCAAGCCAACATTCGTGATAGGTTCCCGGTCCACGGATGCTGGGGGATAATCTGTCAACTCCATTACCAAATTCGACAAACTGAAGAAGAACTTCAAGCTGTTCACACACAGCTCGTGCTCTATCGGCAACACCAGCAAGACATGTCGTCGACGATGAATAATGATTCTACGTCACAGCTGCAACTAGGGATGGCACCACCGAGTAATGTACTTCCGCTTTTCCATCAAGATGCTCCTCAGCCTTACAATGTCGGGTCTGCGTTACCTGTTGCAGCATCACAATTTTCGTACTCAAATGCCAATAATGTTGCATACAATTCGGGATTTATCGACACTAAGGACAACAATGCAGGCAATAATGCTTTCTGGATTCAACATCCGTATGGCAATGGAAACAATAGCAATAACAATCAGCTTACAATGCAATCTCAAATGGCTGCTTCACAGTCACTAACTGTCCAACAAGAAGCTGCTCAAGATTATGATGAGATGCATCCGTTCTTTGATACTATTGATGACAGACAATCATATATTGATTCCAAGGAGGCATACGAGTCGAGGTACGTTTACGATAATCACTTCTTTATTATATAGAAGATTAAGAATTTTAATAAGAAAAAGTAATTACTATATCTCTAATATTGCAGCTCGGAATCATCACTGAAAGATACGACACAGTCCATAGAGCACGTTGCACAGAATGAATTGAAGAGTGCCGCTGCATGCTTCAGTCTGACAAGCGTCGATCAAATAGCCTAAGAAAAGTAAGGAGAAGAGTTGCAGAGTGGATTAACTTCCATTTGATTCCAACTTCTTTTTTTCCTGATTCATTTCATGCGTTCCACAGTTTTGAATTTTATTCTATTTCTTCTGTTTTATGGTAACATTTTATTATTAGTTCCATAATTAATTACATGCTTTGTGATAACATCTCTGTTTCACAAATGAAAAAGAAAATGTGAACTCTATAGAAATCTAGAATTTAAATGTAAGTCTGAAGATTAATGTGTTACACTGTTACACAGTATGATATAAATGTCTGAATTCATTTTCACAGCCTATTTTACAATGCCGAAATTATTGGTGCTTCTTTCAGCTTATACTGAAAATGTTAAACATTAATCACCTATAAAGAATTCTGCTTCATAAATGTTATTGTGATTAAATACATATTGCATCAGAAAGCAACAATATGTGATTAAACGATAGTAACTATTAATGAGTAGCCAATAATAATGTTTTACTGGAGATTTACTGTGCTCCCTAATAGTTGGTTCAGCAGTCATATATTAAATAGGTATAATAGATTGTATTGGAATGGATACTACAACCTCTACCGTATGTTGAACGAGCCAATCGTTTGGTCTGGTTCAACCTGTCAAGGTGTATCTGGGAGTTGAAGTGAAGTCGATTACCCCCAACTCCTGAAATGTCGAATAAATCATGTAAAGAATGGAAGAGAGATCATATATGGTGATGACCACATTTGGGATCATTTTGAATTGAGTTGGTATTGTTAGTAAAGTCTTTAGATCTAGTGCAGGAAATTCAGAATGTACTTCAGAAGCTTCTTTTATTAGAATGTGTGATATAGAGCATTTCGGCATCATGGACTCGCGCATTCCTAATTAGGTCCAAGAGCTTTTGGTCTTTGAAACCCCAACCATACCCACAGCTACAACTGGAAGCATATTCTAAACCAGACCCTTCTTAAGACACCATATTGGTGACGGTCTTCATACAGGCATTTTGTTTTGACTATTGTTTACCTCAAGGTCCTTTAATTGACCTTATACATCCTAGCCTCATCCATTCCTCCTCCTCATCCGTTCAATCTAAGGTTAGCGATCTCATCATCAATTCTGAATGATAAATTCCTTTTGATCTGTCAAATTTGATTCCTCACCTCTAGTCTCTTCTGCTGGCCATTTCTATACACAATGACATTGCTGACAAAGTATCACGGATCCTTTCTCCCTCAGCTACATTCTCCTTATCACACACCTTGCATCCCCCGTAACCACCTTCTCCTACCTTCAGATGGCATAAACTTATATAGTTCAAGAACAACATCCCAAAACATAACTTTCCAAATAAAATAAAATAAAAACCCAAAGCGTAGCTTCTTGCTTTGGATGTCAGCTAGGAACAGAATACATACTCTAGACAGATTTTCCTTCACAATCCTAATCATTGCTGTCCCGTCTTGGTGCCAATGAATCCTCACTCCCTTTGTTTTTTCAATGCTCATTCTCATCTTTTATATGGAACCACGTTCAGTTCCTATGTTGTTTCCACATTACTACCATGGATTCACATTTACTCTTGAATTGGTGCTAAAGCTTCAGCACTATGTCAACAAAATGGCCCTTGCTTCTTGTGTTTATTTCATATGGGCTAGGAGAAATAATAGGGTGTCTGAGAACCAAGTCTCTAATCCTTCTGTCACCCTCTTAAAAGTCAAGAACTCTATTAGATGTATACTTCCGGGGCTTAAATTCTCTAATACTGCTCCCAACAGAAGGTAGCTGAAGAATGGAACATTCCTTCCTCGTGTTTTCCCTCTAATGCACCCTTGTCTCATCTTGTTTCCTAATGTCTGTTGACCTCCTCTAGGTTGTTTTGCTGTATCTGGTTATGCTCTCATTGGTCTGCTTCCTTGGTTAGATGGAGCTTCAGTAATTGCTCTATCCTGTTGATTTTTTGGGTAACTGCTGTAGTGATTTTCTTTTTCTTTTTTTCCTAATTAACTGCTGTAGTGATTTTGAAGGCATGTAAGCAGCTTTATGGTTAATAATCGGAGAGACTAAGCACTACAAACCCTAAACTGTAATTTTTAAAAATTATTCAATTCCTTCGAAAAATTTCATTGTTATATATAATATTGCACCTGGAGTTAATTGTACAGTTTTTATTACTGTTTGATCAGTTCCAAGGTTTGGCATAATTTTTCCCTTATGCTTATTATTATTAAGGATTTCCCTTGGCACAATGATAAGGTTTCTCCATTGTAACCTGGAGGTCACTGGTTCGAAACAAGGAAACAGCCTCTCCACATGCTGTGCTATGTACATCTAACCCTCCCCAAACCCCACAATGGCAGAGCCTCGTGCACTAGGTTTGCCCTTTATTGTTAGGAATCAAAATAGATCTATTATTATTTTTATTTTTTTTATAGATAATGGGATTTCATGTCCCAACTAGGTATTTTTGGCAATTGAATTTACATATAAAAATAAATAAATAAATAAATAAAACTAAAAAGAATTAAGAGTTAAATTAAATTTTATCGGATCTAGGTATATCAAGAAACCAATTTCACCTTATCTCACAATTAACTAATTGACACCTATATCTAATTTATACAAGATTGTAATGAGGTGTACTGAATTTGTTCCACTGCATGTCTTCCACATTACTATGCTTTTTCATATTACAAGTTTTTCTGTAGTTATCATATGATTCATACATCTTATGGTTCACCCCAAAGAGGAAAAAAATAATAATTTGATGTCTTGTTAAAAATGGAATTAAATTTTACATTAATAGCATTTATAATGTAAATATTTTCTTTTTTCCTCTTCTTTTTTTAGCAACTGTGTAAAGTTTATTATACAGTAACATTTTTAAAGTTTGTGAAATATATATTAAGCCTAAGAAAACCATGCTGTAGTGTTCTTTTCACTTGGGCAATTTTATCAGTTGGCGAAGCTCAAGAATAAAGTAAATAGCAAAAATTATCTAGAAAGAAGCAATGGATTTTTATTAAAATTACTTGGATGCTAATTCACGATGACATACAGAATTCTCAAGCTACGTAACTTTAAAGTGAGAGAAGCATTATCATATCCCCAAGGACAAAAATACATTTATTCAAAGATATAGAGTGGTTTCACCTAACACCAAGTTATTACAGCTATACAAGTTAACAAGATCAAATTTCCTATATAGTGGGTTGAGAGAATCAACTATTTACACTCACTGCAGAAATGTCATAGAAGCCTGGTGTTGTATGAACCACAATAAGAGCACTTGTGATAGAGCCAATGAAATGAAGCAGTTCCTCTTTTTTCACAGTCATTGCATAATATGACCTGAAAATCATTCCATAGTTGAACAAATGCATTTCATAACATTGCAGAAGAGAAAAGATAAATAAAGTATGACCAATAGGACCAAAGAAAATAATCAACCTGAGTCTGGCCAGAATAATCGTCTGGAATTTTCTCTTCAGCCAATAATGCATCTAACATTCCAAAGTACACCTGAAAATACACCATTAGCATATTCAATTCAAAGACTCCCATAATCTACAATAGAGGCAATTTAAATTGCCTTGGCAACTGAATAAACTAATATGGAAATTAATTTTGAGGTTACTAGGCCTGACCATAAATTAACTCTCAGCATAATGAAGACCAATTCTTTTCCCTTTCTTTCTTTACCATCTTCTTTATAGGAGTTCTTTCTTTACATACAGCATCAAGTTTGTCAACCATATGGGGAGCACATTTTGCACAATGCGCTAAAACAGAAACTTCAAAGAGAGGTGCAAAAGAAAATTTCAAGTATTACTTGTTTAGCAAGCCCAAAAAATAATAATAATAATAAAGAGAGAGATTTTGAACTTCATATCTTCAGCTAACAAAACAATCTAGTCCAAACAAGTAAAAATTCTTTAGGTAATTCCTTATTCAACTACCTCTCATTTTGTCTAATTTTGACACCTAGGCCCATTTAGTTGATGATCCAATCATATATAGAAGATGAACAAGGAAGCTCATGTAAGTAATTGTAACATGTGTAGATATTATATCCACAATTACAGTTATTACTTTATGCAAAGTCCAAGGAAACATTGGGAAGTGTGTTGTATCTTGAGGTATCCCAAAGGAATGGTAGAATATTCAAGCTGTCTAGTTCACTTGATGTTACAGGCAACTTCGATGTAGACCAAGTTGGAGATATATTGGATCAGGATCCTAAGTTAAAATTCTCTAAGTAATCCTAAGTTGAATTCATGAGGAGTTGATATGTGGAGTTTTTATTCAATTTATGGTCTGCAAGTTTGCCACATCATACAAACAATAAGATACTTCAAAACAACATTGTATCCGTGGAACACCGTTAACAAAATGGTAGAACTTTTCAAACACCTAATTATCTCTCTACTTTCTTTCTATCCTAGGGTTTTTCTTGTGAAGAAAGAGAGAGCTTGCTGGGAATTTTGTCTCAAATTCCTAGTTTAATTAGGTTTCTATTTTAGAGTTGTATTTTATTAGGTGATTTCGTGTAAGGATAGTCTTAGGCTACAAGGAATTGTAATCCTTGTCCAACAAGGAATTGGGTTTGGAAACCTACAAATTAGGTAACCTAGGTTATGGTTGAGCCTTGTGAGAATGAGAGAGATGTAATCTCATGAGGGAGTTGATGGGTAGAGGTAGTTGGTGGGTTGGATAGAGTAAGAAAAACACCATGGCACTGGTAGCGAGGAGATAAGCCCATGGAGTGGACATGGTGAAAAGGCATATATGTTGTGTTGGTGCTTTATTGTTGTAATATCTTAACGAATCATAGTAGAGTCTTTTTTCATCCGTGGATGTAGACCGATTTTGGCCAAACCACATAATATCTTGTGTTTGTGTGTGATTGCTTTACTAGTTTTCACTGGATCTCGATATTCGCGCCTTTTCGCTTCCCCAACAAATTGGTATCTGAGTTGAAGGTGAAGAAGATTTAGAAAACACATGGAGTCTCAACAAGTGCTACAACAGGTTTCAGTTGCAGGTAGAGTCAATTGGCTTGGTTGGTTGCCATGGTCAGAAAATCGTGATGGATTACATGGCATAGAGCTTGAGTAATCAAGGTGGAGCCTTGGAGGTTTGACTCATCGAGCAACCATGATCAATGCCGTGAAAAGCATGATTGGCTAGACGAAATTTGAGCCAAGATGGAGATTGTTGGGAATTTTGTCTCAAACTCCTACTTTTAATTAGGTTTCTATTTTAGAGACATATTTTAATAAGTAATTTCTTGTAAGGCAAGTCTTAGGCTCCAAGGAATTGTAATCCTTGTCCAATAAGGAATTGGGTTTAGAACCGTATTAATAGGTACCTAGGTTATGGTTGAGACTTATAAGATTGAGAGAGATGTAGTCTCATGAAGGAGTTGATAGGTAGAGATAGTTTGTGGGTTGGATAGAGTAGGAAAAACATTGGTAGCACTCGTAGCAAAGAGATAGGCTCGTGGAGTGGTCCATGGTGAGAAGGCATATATGTGGTGTTGGTACCCTATTGTTGTAATCTTTCTATGGATTATAGTGGAATCTCTTCTCATTTGTGGATGTAGACCGGTTTTGGCCGATCCTCGTTATATCTTGTGTTTGTGTGTGATTGCTTTATTTTTATAAGGGAGATCCATTAAAAAAACGAGGAATTGCCCCCAACAAATAGGTATTAGAACCGAAGGTAAAAAAAATTCAGAAAACACAAGGAGTCTTAACGAGTGCTGCAACAGGTTTCAGTTGCGGGTGGATTTAATCAGTTTGGTTGGTCATGATTGTTAGAAAATCATGATAGGTTACATAACATGGAGCTTGAGTAGTCAAGGTGGAGCCTTGGAGGTTTGATTGATCGAGCAGCCATGATCAATACCGTAGGAAGAGTGATTGGCTGGATGGAATTTAAGCCACATTGAAGATTGTCGGGAATTTTGTCTCAAATTCCTAGTTTAATTAGGTTTCCATTTTAGAGTTGTATTTTATTAGGTAATTTCTTGTAAGGCAAGTCTTAGGCTCCAAGGAATTGTAATCCTTGTCCAACAAGGAATTGGGTTTGGAACCCTATAAATAGGTACCTAAGTTATGGCTAATACTTATGAGATTGAGAGAGATGTAATCTCGTGAGGGAGTTGATGGGCAAAAGATAGTTTGTGGGTTAGATTGAGTAGGAAAAACACCGATGGCACTGGTAGGCTCGTGGAGTGGTACATGCCTTTTCACCATGTACCTGGTGTTGATACTCTATTATTATAATATCTCTATGAATCATAGTGAAATCTCTTCTTATCTGTGGATGTAGACTGGTTTTGGCCGAACCATGTTATATCTTGTGTTTTGTGTCTTGTGTTTGTGTGTGATTGCTTTGTTGGCTTTCATTGGATCTCGATATTCACGCGTTTCCAATTCCCCAATAGAGCCCAGTTAGAATAAATATGTCAGGAAAGCCTAGCATTCTTTGGCGCACAAAGGGACACAAGAAGGAAGATGTAAATACAGAAAAGAAGGATAGATGTAAGAAAGAGAAAAATGTAGAATTGGGAATGGGGTTCAGCAGTTCGCAAATGGCGTCGTTCAATCTTCCCTTCAAAATGGCGCCGTATTGGAATATTATTTGAAGTGTTTGACATGGAGATTTCAACCCGGAGATCAGCATAAAATAACACGTGTCATTGCCTCATAAACTCAACTTTGGATAACTTAAGAGGATCCTGATCTCAGTTGCATAGATGGTCAATTTTCAGATATCTCCTTAATCTAGACTAATCTGATATAATTCTAATTACATCTACAAGAGCACTTATCACTGGTATTTGACATGGTGTGTGACACTTGTCTTAATTGCTAGAGTACAAGGTCATTCTCCATTACTAGTTACACTTTTAATAGGTTGTTGATCTCAAATGTAAGGCAGAGCATGCAACTACTACATGAAATTGGTTTGTCTAGTATAATCCTCAAACACATCAGAACTTCACAAATAATTTGAAGGCTCACTTTCATCCATGTAGAAAATAAAACAACAACAAAATCACTTCTCAAAGTAATTTTAAAGAATTCAGATCTGAAAGCCTGTCTGGAAATTGTAATCAGGTTTACCTAACTGCAAAACAAGCTTCCTATGCTTATCTAAGCTTATTGTGAAAATCCAAAACTGGGTGTAATTTCAGGTAGAAACAAGCTATTAATAAAAAAACTTATTTTTTTGGAAAATCTTCTAAAATTTTGATTATTCTTAAGATGCGCTAATAGGAAAGAACATTAGAATTTTCATCCAAAAATTATTAGCAAGTTTTAAAAATTAAGAAAGGCAGCAAAATGACAATTCAAAATTCACTTGTAGTACAAAAATTTGAACATGTTGAAGAATGCTTCAACCAATGCAGGACAACCATGAGAAACTGTACGTTTTTTATTCTAAAGGCATATGTTGGGTGCAATTGTTGCTGATAATATAGGTTTGCAATATATAATTATATAGTCAAAGCAGAGCTTCTGACTTATATATGTTTGTAACATAAACAATAAAAGAAGTGTCAAAGAGAGGTGTATCATATAAAATATCTTGTAACTGACCTGCATGTCCCCAAGTGACTTGCTACAAATTGGGCAGGTATAGTGGGTATAAGTATAGTCCTAGCAGCAGCGGAGAGTGTTAGTAAAGTACATTGAAGGTCTGTATAATCTCTGGGGAAAAAATGAGCTTTGTATGAGTCAAGTACCTGAAAACATGCCGAGTGCATCAAATGACCACATGCAAGGGCCTTAACTGGAGAGCTTGATGTGAAGATGTATTCGTGGCAGATTGGGCAGTTGTCCTCAAAGCACTTCTCACGGCATGTATGCACTGCAAGAGACCGTGACATGCAAGCATTGCAATTCATACAATGAAAATAGTCAATGCCCAATCCTTTCCCAACTCGGCACAGGTTACAGTAAGGGCAGTGATAAATTTCCCTGTTCAACACCCTTTTTTTTAGAGAACTCCATTGGATGAAAAGTCCAACTTCGAGATATCAAGATGAGATATGGAAGGGAACACAATATTAATCTAGATAAAAACCATTCTTTTAATATACAAAAGGCGATGGAGAGTGAGAGTGAGAGAGAGAGAAACATAAAAGTAAAAGCATAAAAAATAAATGAAGGTTAGAAGAATTTGACGCATTATGGTACCATGGTGTAGAGACTTAAAAAAAAATAAAAATAAAAATAGTACCAGAGACCATTTATTAGTGCAATTGTGGAAGCTGGGGCTGCGAAATGCAGGTTTGAGTCTGAGCCTAAGAGAAACGACTTTGCAAACAATTCGTTTGCAATATGTCTGTGCTGGTTCAATCGTTACCCAGCTCAGCCTAATAACTCAATGAAGGTTAGAAGAAATTGAGGCATTATAGTGAAAGCTGGGGCTGGGAGCATTGAGAAGTCTGAGCCTGAGGGAACTACTTTGTGAACATTTTTGTTGGCAATATGTCTACGATGGCTCAAATTCAGCTCGGCCCAATAATTCGCTAATTACCAATAGATGGTATACCTAATGCCAAAGGTTAATTCAGCAGTCAGCACTCAATTTACCCCTCTTATCATCCCACATCGGCTGGACTAGCACTGTTTAACTGCCTTGTTAGTCATGGTGGTGGAAACATGGAAAGAAATATGATTGCCACATAGCTAAATCACCATGATGTCCTACCATGTTCTTCTAAAGCAATATCTTGCAGAAAGAAAGAATCAATCTTATATGTTCACACTATTTAACACCGGCAATCAGGTGATGGGCAAAACAAATTTTGAAAAATGGATTCACCAATTGACAACAAACACACAAGAAAGAAAATCAAATCAACACTCATTCAGTTTAGTATTTATATATATAATGCATCTATGTTCCTCTGTAGGAAAACAAGTTTTCAAAAATGGATTCATCAACTGACAACAAACACACACAAAAAAAAAAAAATCAACACCCTGTTCAGTTTAGTACGTTATATATATATATATTATTATATAATGCATCTTTGGGCCTCCGTAGGGCTTTCAACAAAAGTTGTCTCACTTAAAATCACTGCTATGATATTCTCCAACACATAACATAAGAGACACAACTACGTGAGAGTGACTGAGCATTTTATGTTTCAATCACAAGTGTGGTTCTTCATAGATTATCATATATTATTGCGAATCGAGTTTTAAAACAAGGGGCTCAATTGAATACGTGAAGATTGGTCAACCACAACACCTACACATCAAAGGATTGGAAGACTAGTCATTGGATATCAAATCACAGAATGGAGAAGCGGATGGTGTGAGGAGAGGATATGTTGATGAGCGAACTGTGCCTTGAGACTCGAGTGGAGAGCTTGGTGGATCAGTTTGTGTCGAGTTAACTAGGGGTTCCAAGGTTTTGGAACAGTTAACCTAGTTGTTCTTGTATTGGATTTGGTTTGCCTCGACTAGGTTCCGTGGTTTTTCCCCATTGGGGTTTTCCAGTCAAAAATCGTGTCTTCGTGTATGGCTGCACAGTTTGGTGATTTTCACTCCCTATATTTAACTGATTCATGTTAGTGCATCTTAAATATAATTATTAGAGCTTAAGAATCATTATTGTTAGTTAAAATTAGACAAGACCTATTCACCCCCCTCTAGATCTATATTGAGCATAGCCTACTCTGATGTATCAGAGCCTCGGTCACGGTCCTACAATCTAACAATTGGTATCAGAGCATATTGATGGTAGATCCATCAGAGGAAAAGGTCAGCTTGCATAAAGGCTTTTATGTAATAGAGAATGTTTCGAACTGTTTATATAGTAAATGGCCAGCCACTATCAACATTAGATAGAAAACAAACCTTGTTAATTCTAAAATAGAATACGATGTCATAGGTATATAATAGAAATATCATTCTAATCCTGCTTTTAGATCCTCAGCAGTGACTGATGCTAAGTAAAATTTCAAGCTTATCTCCAGGAAATTAAGCTTTCATCATGACATATTTTACAATGTAAACAAGAAAAATAAATTACATCCTTTCAGGAGAAGGATATAGTAATTTCCATATGGATCTTCAAGAGTGACTAATGCTAAGTAAGAATTTCAAGCTTGCAGATCAAAAATAAAGTAAGTCGTTCTGGGAACATCACCTCTCATCATCAAACAGTTTGCAGATCCGGCAATAGTATCTTGCCATGGATAAATCATGACAAGAAGCAGTGGAACATGTGGGACCAACTGGCTGAATTGTCAAGCATTTCATGCACATCATCTTGGTGGTTGCTTTCCTGCATGCATATTGTAAACAACAATAAAGATGTGAAGAAGATGAGCAAAAAATCCAAAGTACATGGATAGAAGCAGAACTTAGATCATGCCTACCTATCCATAGAATGATCAGCCACGTCATCATGGCAATATCTGCACGTATAAAGCTGGTTGCAACAGGCAGCAACAAGCTTACAGTTCCTCTTGTAGTGTTTGCAGCCAAAACTAGATTTAAGAGGGCCCCGATATGATGGACACTGACCTGGAACTTCTTCCTTATTACTTGAGACAGTAACTTCAGAATGAGACTTTTGCTGTCTAACAATCCAACGGCTGAAAACATCATGGTATCTTCAGTCAAATTCCATAAAGCGTGCGACATACATATAGGCATTGTACAAAAGAAGAAAGAAAATCAAGGTGTTGTGCATCAAGATGTCTACTAACAACATAGTAGGCTTTGTAGCACTGATGATATACAGGAAGAAAATGGGGATTCATAATCAAACATGCTTGATCAAGAAAAGGAAGCAAAGAAGCAACAGGATATGGAATGTGAAGGAAAGGTCCTAAGGCCTCTCCCCTACTCATTTTAGATTTGGACAGTTCAGGTGCATTTGGGAGTCAGTCTAGCAAAATATATATATACTATTTTACACCTTACTTCTAGACTAATTTTAGCTCCTTGTTGCAACCTATTAAAACTACTTCTTGGACAATCGACTTTTTAACTGTTTCTTGGACAGTTGATTCATTGATCTTATAAATCCAATAATCTTTAATTGGGGAAAATAAAATTTTGAAAATAATAAATGGGTTGATAGATAGGATCATCCAATTAAATCATGAGGACATTCAAAAGAATGTCACCAGTTGTGTTGTCAATGGACTGTCTTACAGTACCTTAAATTTCCTCTTGACGTAAAAAGTAAAGAAAAAAAAAGATTAAAATTCTTATTACCAACCTCATTAGCAGGTTCTGGATTATGTATGATCTCTTTTGAGGATCTAAAGTAGTGTCACGGGATACTCTTCTAATTGCAGCCTCCAGTTCTTCTTGGTTGAGTGAGAGAAGGTGTTCCTGGTTCCTGAAGTTTTTACTGACTTGCACAAGCTTATCCGGTTTACTAACTTGATCAGTGGCATCTTCTATTTCATTAGATCTCTTCTTGCCAACCTCACCAGAAAATACTGTATAATCTGAACATTTGTAATTATTTTGGTTTCCATTGAGAGTCTTCTCTTTGTCATCCACGCTAAGATTTCCATGCAGCTCAGTAAAAGAACTGGGAGAACCTTTTCGTGGAAATTTGACGCCATTGTCCCGGAGAATCCCTCCTTGACCATTAAAATTTTCTTTTGGCAGATACTTTAAGATAACTTCCAGTGGATCTGCAATCCATGAAGGAGGGATATTTGACTCTTCTTCCACCTTAACTATATCATATTCATACCTCTTCATACCTTCCCACCATTCTCCTAACCATTCATGAAACATTGTATTTTTGGTGGCCTTGCGCCATAAGGACATTATGGCATTCTGTTCTTCTGGTGAAAGAGATTCCATGAGCCAGGGTATCATTTCTTGCAGAACTTCTGCTCTTGTTCTTCCAAGAATGCTTCCTATTATTTTTTCTTGCTCATCAAGGGAGAAGCATTCTCTGAATAGAGGCCAAAGTTCAATTTCTTCACGATGGACATGCTCACAAAGTATATTATGCATAGATTTGCACATACTATGGAGCTCTACACACAGACTACAGAACTTTAGCATCTTTTTATCCCATTTATCCACATCAATAATAGAATCTGAAACATGCAATTTAGAGATCTCATCTAGGATGAGGGAAATTTTATTGAAGTGTTCAACTTCCAATTTATGGTCAATGGAATAGGAGTGGCTAATGTTTTGGGCTTTTCCCTTTGCCTCTAGAGCTGGAAAGGCAATCTCATCCTCAGAATCACTATGAATTTGATATAAAGATCGCACAAGATTGAAGCGCCGATGGAAATCCACATACAACCCAGCATTTTCAGCCAGCTTAGCTGAAACAAAGACGAGGTATTCCAAATCTTTCTTGAGAGCTTTGTGGAAGAAAAATATGTGGTCCATTGGCTTAGGTTCAAGAGTAAAGATGGAATTAACACCACTGTTGTCAGCTGGAAATTTAGGATATGGTGACAATTTCTTTAACGTTCTAGGAAGGAGTATATGCAAATTGATCCCACTAGAGTATGATGTGTCATATTGATCAGTGGTGTTGGATCCAGAAGATGAAGAATTAAACATGCAGTTTTTCCCCTGGACATCTGACTTTGGCTCCAATGAACCAGGGTTAGGTTTGCTGCAGGATTGCATACCCAACTGTAAGCAAGAAACTCCCGAATCCTCCTTGATATGTTCAGACAGAAATGAGGTTCTGCTATTGAACATTTTCTGCAAATCTCTTCTGAATTTTTCAGTGGATGTTTTACCTGAATAACCAATGCGTACCCACTCATACAAAAGAGATGCCAAATAACGATTGACTAAGGGACCCCCTTGCTTTATGCAATACAATATGGACTTCGATTCATCCTCGGTTAAATGAGCTGAAAACCAGGTGATCGCACACTTCAGCAAACCAAGGGGCATCATGAGAAGGCTTGTGTACAGTAGCCACCGCTGCATTTCATGGCTGCAGTTCTTGCTAAAAATAGGGAAAACCTGATATAAAGTAGAAAAATATGAGATAATAATAAAGGTAGACTGTCGGTGAGAAAACTCTTTTAGGCAAGTGGAAGTACAATTAGAACCTAAATCTTAAGGGAATATAGGTATTATTGATTGATTAAATGTAATATCAAGTGTAACCAGTCAAGGCTAACTTCTTCATATGTTTTCACCTCCTCTTGCTTTGATATTAACAGTAACGAAAATAATAATGTACCTCTGTTTCTAGAAAAACCATTTGTTTGCTAATCCCCATAAAAAATAACTCCAGTTCCCCACACAGTTTCTCCATGAAGTTGAATGTAGGTATCCCATTTTGAACCTTAGAGTAAAGCAACCTCTGTAAACTTTCAATTTGACTTTCAACTGGGAATTGTTCAAAAGAGGGAGATGGGCAGACTTTGACAAGTTCATTTGACATGGGGTAAAAGATTTTATCCAGTGCATTCCTGCAAATTACAAGCAATTTTTGAGAAATATAATAAATCAAAAGATTAAGGCCATTACTCAGTGTGGTGCATGGGAGCAGTACAGACCTAATCTTTGGAATTATTTGTTTTCCTCAGACTCAAACATGCGTTCTCACGATTCATAGCCTGAGCTTTAACCACAATACCAAGCAATGGCCACCTAAGTGAGGAGTGATAAAATGGACCTATTTTAATAAGATCTTCCACTTGATACGTTGATCGAGCAGGAAGATCTCTGCTAAGTGGAGAACAACAACAATCATGGTGATTACCTATAGAAGATGAGGACATCTGCAAAAAATTTTAACTGGATGACTACTGAAGGTAAAGTTGAAATATTGTTTGAGCTTCTTATTTGATATAGCTCTTCCAAATTTCTTTTCAAATCTTTTCTGATAGCACCATGCCAAAGATGAAGACCATCAACAGGATTGCGTCTAACAGTTGTCTGGATAGAAGATTCTTTCCTCCACTGCCATTTGTCCAAACAGACGCTCCTAGATGTGTACGCATCGAATATATCTTTCAAATTTGCGGGACCATCAGGACATTGAACTCCTTTTCCAGTATTAGTGAAGGCCCCAAATGAAGGCTGATTTTTGTTATCAATCCAGGAAATCACCACCTTCAAGATAGAGTTGCACTAATTAAATCAGGATGCCACTGTATAGTAGAGTGAGAAATTTTGATAATGAAAAATTGAATGTGAAAATAGGTCAGTGTCTACCTCTTGCAATAGTTTTTCCTTAGGTACAACTTCTTTTAAACAATGCAAAGCATTTATTTGTTCATCTGGAGAAAGAAAAGAAGCCATCCATGGCAAAAAATCTTCCAATAGTGTTACGGGAACATTACACATGAACTGCCAAACAAGTGACGCCTGTTCTTTAGGAGAGAATTGCTGCATTAGCAAAGGAAAAACCTGCAGCAGTATATCCAAAATATGTACCAAAATCAGAATACATGGTGTGGAATATAGTACTTAAAAAAAGGGCAAACCCAGTTCAAAAGGCTCCCGCCATTGCAGGGTCTGGGGAGGTTCAAATGTACACATCCTTACCTCCACACGTGGAGAGGCCGCTTCCTTGTTTCAAACCCGTGACCTCCAGGTCACAATATTAAGAAACAAATTTATACAATTAATGAAAGCATACTAACTAATGAACTAGAGTTGAAATTTCCTACTGAAATCTTCATTAAAATATGCCAATTTACCTAAAACATATTTTGGCCTCCATCAAATTCAGATATTGAACACAATTTGATCCTCAATTTTCAATCTATTTAGCTGACATTGCAATTTAATAAGAGAGTAAAGGGATAAAATAGCACTTAAACTGATAAACAAAAATGAACCACAAGAAGCAGCCCAAATCTCTGTGTGCGCGCGCGCGCGCACGTGTGTGGTTTTATAATATTTCTTTGATGTTTCTTTATGCGAATCGGGTTCAGAAAATTCAACGAGAGGTATCTCAAGCAGGTGGTATTTGTTTAAAAATCATGTGCAAGTCCTATAAATATCAAACATAATCCAGTTCAGATACCTACCTATTCTTTTTGAATAATAAGATTACAGGTAAGTGGAGAGTTTAGATTCACTTTTGAGTGGTTATGGAGCAAATGCTTTATAAATAATTGTAACTCACTCAGTTGTCAATAGTCTGAAGAACTTCGAACTTATTGGAATTTCCTTGTAACACTTTTTCTTGCTTCTCTGAATCATGCAAAAAGGTCTCTAAAGTCCAAACGTAAAGAGTTTTGAGGTACCAATAAGCATTATTGTCATTATCATTTTTTGTTCACTCAACTCAGACATTCATCCTTCAAAGTGCTCATCAAAGTCCCTGAATGTACACATTTTGAGTACCTCTACTTGTTCAGCCTCTAACATTTCGACCACGAAGTGCCATCACAGGTTCAAGAATTATGGTACAGGAAGACCTCTGTTGAGAGGTTGTCCGCTTTCTTCTTCTCTTTCTTGCTTTTCTGTTGAGGCATTTTTTTCGTGCGATAATTACTTCGACCATGTATTAAGAGTAGCATCTTCAAGTGGAACAATCTGCGAGACTTTTTGTCTTTGTGCAATAACAAGAAGTTTCTAGAACTAATGTTTCTTTCAGATCAATAAAGGATGTCTATCTTTCCTTATCTTCTCAGGACTCTATGCCCTAAAATTATAGATTCATCTTCTTGTGTATCGTTTTTTACCAAGTTTCCATAGTATCTCCTTCTCTACTGAAGGTATATAGACTTCTAAATTTGTGTATCTTTCCTCATCTTCTCAGGACTCTATGCCCTAAAATTATAGATTCATCTTCTTGTGTATCGTTTTTTACCAAGTTTCCATAGTATCTCCTTCTCTACTAAAGGTATATAGACTTCTAAATTACTCCAAGGACAAAATGGTTCTCGAGGAACGGTACTTAGAATTTTGGGTAAATTACATTCATACCCCCTCAAGTTAGGCCTAATTATAGGTAGATAGCAACTTTGAAAAAACCTACACTCAAACTCCTTGTTAGCAATTGTCTCTTAAGAGCAGCAACTTTTTGGGCAAATTTCAGGCCTACTAGTTAGGCCTATTTGTCAAAGTGAAACAATTATGGTCATAATGGCCTGAATATCATTTTCTTATACCCTTTAGATTATACTATTATTTTATTCACAAAAAATCTCATCAGCAAAATGACCTAACTACCCCTCATCTCTCTCTCTTTCTCTCTCTCTTTCTCTAGCACTCCGCCACCTTCTACACTATCTTGGCCACCCTTTTCCTCATAATCTTTTTCTTCCACCTCCTCCTCCCCTCCTCTCATCCTCTTCATACTCTTCCTCCACCTCCTCTACCTCCAATTCTTTGTCATCATACTCTGCCATAGCACCTTGACACACCAATTCACCGTCCGCAGATCCGAACCCAAGAATCTATCCTTTCCTATGCATTCTGTCTCCACAATTGTGGAGTTGAGATAAAATTTGGCACGTGAGAAGGAAGAGGCAAGGACGGGAAGGTGGTTGAGGCAGTAAGGGGGTTGAAAGCGGCATTGCAGATACATGACAATGTGTCTGTGGCGACCATGGAGGAGAGAGAACCTATGGCGTATGGTTTGTTGAGGAAGGAGTGGACAGAGTGCTTGGAGGAGGTAAGATGGATTACTCTCTCGTTTGGTTACCGAGAAAACTGAGGAAAATAAAAATTTTGAAGATTTATTGCATTATCTGTTTTTTAATTAGGCTAAGCAAAACAATTGTACACCACCATATTTTTTTTGCAAACTGAAACAATGAAAAATGAAGGTAAAGGTTAACTGCCAAGTAGGAAACTGAGAAAAAGAGAAGAAAATTTTGAGAGAAATGCTTGAAGATTTATAATTTCTATCGTTTTGTTTAAACATGGAATGACTGAACATAATTTGAATAAATTAATATACTTTGAATCAATTACTTTGTGAACTCAATGAATTAAAAATTTGATGTTTCATTTTTCCTTTCCTCAAGTGACCCAAAGTCGATATGATGAAAAATGTTTTATATACAGGAAGAGAGAATTTAGGACTTGGGGCTGGTAAAATAAAGGAGAACTTGCGGAGTACGTAAATATGTATGAATAAATAATAAGATGTAATACAATAATATTTATTTTTTAATATAAATATTTTTTTCATAATATAATCATTCAATTTGTTTTAATAAATTGTATATTTATTTTTTCAAATAAATATTATATAATATTTAATTGTATATCTTTTTGATGGGTATCTGTACATACATAATTTGCAAATTTAGAGATTTTAAAGTTCATAACTTAATTTAATTTTAATATGCATATTAATGTTTTATATAATACATAATTATATATTTAATGTAAAAAATGTAGATTGAATTAGTTATATTTGACATATTATATATATATATATATATATATATATATATATATATATATATATATTTAATAGAATTTACAATACATATAATTTACATTTTGGAATTTTTAAAAAATTTTGATATTAATTTGCTAATGTGGTAAAATTAATTCGTAAATTTGAGACCCCATCCATATGGGACAAAGGCAAGGATGATAATGATGAAAGAGAGAGAGAGAGAGAGAGTATTCCAAATTTATGTAAAATGTAAAAAGGGTTTATTTGTCCATATATGAAAAATCTCGTTGGGTAAATTGGTCATTTCAATTGATAAAGTAAACCAAGAGTTGTAGCCTAGTTGTACTTCCTCACTTTCTATAGTAGAAGGTCGAGGGTTCAAGTCCCTATAGGGGCAAAAAGTAGGCGTGCGAGTTTCTTGCCAAGGTAAAAAATAAAAAAGTGATAAATGAAATTTCACAAGGTGTCAACTAATTGGGCCAATAGCTAGTTGACGGTAGGGGAGTGATAGAAGTCAGGCCCCAAACCTCGGGGTCTCAATTAGGTTTTTGCAAACTTGCCATCTACCTGTAATTTATTCAAACCTTAGGAGGTGTTGGTGTAATTGCTCCTAAAATTTTTTATTAAACTTTAGAGAAGAAGAGAAGATTTAGGCTTATCACCTATTATTTTTATGATGCAGCAGCAAGGAGATTGAGAGACCAATTGCCTAGGAGACTACTGCTACTTGTTCAGTGACCAATTTGGTCTAATCCTGGTCATAGGCACCATATTTAGTAGCTCCTGCAGATAGAATCCAATATTCCAATCAAATTTTATCAGTTTTGGAGGATCCTGTGGAAAGCTGCATGGAACTACTTTACATTGACCTTGATTTGGTTAGTTTGGGGTAAAAAGTATTTCTTATTAAAAGATAGCTATTATAGGTAATGTAAAACTAGCAGTTCCATTCTGGTTTTCAATCTCAACAAAGTCTATAAAGGACTCTTTGTTTTACTTTTACTCTAAGAATCCAAAGGGTAGTCTCATTATCTACACCAAGATGTTGCACTCTTAGTAGCAGACTAGGAAGTGTAGTGAAAATCCATTGCATACTTCCAAACTTTCTTAACATCATTTCCAGAGAGTGCAATAGAGTAAAAGATTTCATAATAATGACATATCAAAAAGTGATGACTGTCCGGGTAAGTAATAAAAGATTTATCAAATCATCAAGCTTAGAGAGTGCAGCAGAGTAGAGTAATTGAACAACGGGAAAACAGATGGATACCTGTTCTTCCTCTTTAACCATATGCTGGCAAATGGTCGTCTGGATGGTGCTGATGCAAATTACAAGTTCTTGAAATGTCCCGGAGATATTTTCATCTTCCTTCACTAAAGCATTCAGGTAATTAAACAAAGATTCAAAGAGGTAATCTATGCTTTCATGTTCAAGCGAATATGTATTCGCCACATTCTTTATGCGTACGTCAAGTGCCAGAAAGATAACCTGCCAATAAAATTTAAATGGACTTATGGAACCAAAAATTTGCTTATAGACTACAAATAGTCATCATCTAATGAATTATTTAGAATTAAAGTGATTAATAAGGAACAAAGATCAGCTTTCTTGGTACTACAAACCATTTATTGTTTTTCCCTTCTAATTTGATTTAGTCCCTGTTGATGCCTTGCAGTTTTCTGACTATCTGAGAGTACTCTAAGAAGTAGGCCCAACTTACTTTGATAAGTTGTTGAATGAGAATCACATTAGAAGCATAGCTTTAGAAGAATAAGGTAACTGTTGGAAGATGTTATGTTTGGAGAATATCATTATAGGAGTGATTTAAGCCCTTAAATCACTCCTTGACAGAATATTGATATGAGTGAACCATGGGAGTGATTTTTGGAATCTTTCCTATATCATATTTATCACATGTTTGTATTCTTTCACCTATAAATAGAGGTGATCATTGTATACAAAGATTAAGAGAGAATATTATAAAAGTGATGTAGCCCTTTGGGCTCTTTGGGCTGTGGATGTAGGCCGTAGAGGCTGAATGATGGAATATCTTTGTGTTCTTCTTGTTTCATTTCTCTCTTCACTTATATTTTATTAATTACAACAGTAACCCTAGTGAGAAAGATGAAAATAAGAAATGCTTTAAGACCTGATGGCATTCGTCTCGAATCTTGGAGAAGTTTAGGTGATAATCGTGATTCTTGGCCAACAAAAATTTTTAATAATATAATAATAACTAAAAGGATTTCTAACGGATGGCATAAAAGTATTTCAGTTCTGGGATCTTCAAAGTTGTTCAAATTATCGTGGAATTAGATTAATAAGTCATATGGTGAAACTCTAAGAAAGCAATTAAACAATGCCTAAGGCAAGAAGAAACAGCGTAAGAGAATCAATCTAGATTAATGTTCGGGACGAAAATAATGGAAGCTAATTACTTGTTGAAAAGATTAATAGAAATATATATGAGGTTCGTTGTTTGGTTTGGCAGTAAAACATTGAGCATCAATGCCACTAGCGCGAGTTCGAGATTTAGAGCTATGAAATATCAAAGGTTATGTTTGTCTCTAAAACCTAAATTAAGTAAAAATAAAACTGAATATATGGAGTGTAACATTAGTAAATCTATAAAAACAAATGAGGATAAGTAAAGATTGAGAAACAAGGGGTACAAAAAAATGAACAGTTTTGATATTTAGGCTTAATTATTCATAATGAAGGAGAAATTGGGATGATGCAAATCATAGGATCAAGGCAGGATGGGCTAAATGGAGGAGTGCATCTAGTATATTGTGTGATCAGCGTATTCCCATAAGATTGAAAGGGAAGTTCTATGGGACAGCTATTAGACCACCCGTACTTTTGGGATAGAATGTTGGGCAGCTAGGAAACGACAAATGCATAAAGTAAGTGTGGCGAAATGCAAATATTAAGATGGATATGCAGTAATACTAGAAATGATAGAATAAGAAATGATCATATATGTGAGATGGTTGGAGTAGCACCAATTGAGGATAAAATGAGAGAAAATTGGTTAAAAGATTTGGACATGTGCAAATAAGGCCTTTATGTGCGCCAGTTATTCATAATGAAGGAGAAATTGGAGATGATGTAAATCATAGAATCAAGACAGGATGGGCTAAATGGAGGAGTGCATCTAGTATATTGTGTGATCAGCGTATTCCCATAACATTGAAAGGGAAGTTCTATAGGACAGCTATTAGACCACCCGTACTTTTGGGATAGAATGGTGGGCAGCTAGGAAACAACATAAGCATAAAGTAAGTGTGGCGAAATGTGAATATTAGGATGGATATGCTGTAATACTAGAAAGGATAGAATAAGAAATGATCACATCTGTGGGATGGTTGGAGTAGCACCAATTGGGGATAAAATGAGAGAAAACTAGTTACAAGATTTGGATATGTGCAAATAAGGCCTTTATGTATGCCAGTTACGAAGAGTGACATAATCCACATTGAGGGTAATACTAGGTGAAGAGGAAGGCCAAAGTTAACGTGAGTTGAGTTAGTAAGGAAGGATATGGTAACAGGTGGATTGACTAGGGACATGGTCTTAGATAGAGCGGAATGAAAACAAGAATTCATGTAGCCAACCCTAAATAGTTGGGAAAAGGCTTTGGTGGTTGTTGTTGTAGGTATGTCTGGAGTACTCCCTCCCCAAAACCTTTTTATGGCGAGACCAGAAAACGTAATCTCTCTAATTCAAGTATAGAGAGAGAATGAATGAATGGTTTTTAGAAATTTTGAAAAAGCCTAAGATAAAGTCCCTAGAGATTTGATGTGGTGGGTTTTAAATAATTAAGGAGACAGAAACATTGATATTCTAGAAGATATGTATGATGAAACAGTGACCATAATGAGAATAACTTTAGGAGAAACAAGTGAATCTCCAATTATTGTAGGTTTACATCAAGGATCAAAGCCCATTTCATTTTGCCTTTGTTATGGTCCTATGGATGTACTAACAAAACTCATTCGGGCCACAACATCACACTTTGGAACTGAATTCTAATCCTAGCCTGAGATTGCTCAAGAGGAAAGGTGTAGTCCATCCTTTCCTCGTCTATCTTTTACACTTTCTAGGTGTATCCATGTTTAGACCAAGTCATACACTCCTCCAACACTCGAAAAAGTGCTAGAAACAATATATATGTGCTAATATTTTTCTTCCATAAAGCATATTTTATATATGGCAATAAGGGTGTGTGACATGACAACTCTCTTTCGTACGGAATCACGGATAAAGTTGTAAAATAAAGAGAGACAATAATGATGTAGGATTAGGACAAGAAAAAGAAACATGTATATGATACTTGTTGAGCTTCACTTTTCTAAGTTTCAATTTTTAATATAAAAATTTCAATAATTGATCAAAATTGTGTATTTATCCCATATAATGCATGTAGAAATAAAAAGTTTTCCATTTATTTGCCATGTCATCACCATGTCCATCTCCTACTTTTCCAGAATTTTCCATGAAAGTTTGTCTGTTATGTACCATGTTTGTATGCATACTACATGGTTCCACATGGTAGCAATAAAATTAAAAAAATTAAATACTACAATTGAAATTCTTGAAGCAAAGGAATTCACAAACACATTCTAGACTTTGATGTCCCCACATTTTAAGAAGAAATCACTGGGAAGAATAAATTTAAATACGCTAATGAGGATTTTCATATATGGAATCGAAGAGAGATGGAGAGGCAATTTTCTCCATTCAACTCGAAATAAAAAAGGCATCAATTTCTCATTAATTACAAATACGTTAGTTACAAAATAATTGGAGCAGACACTAAGCATCCTAGGTGTTTTTAGCTACTAAAATATACACAAATCAGGGCTCTAGCATTGATTGATGACATTTTTACAAATTTCATTGAATCCAATTTTTTGTAACAAAATACCGGGGTACCAAGCTCTTATACCACTTCATATTTTCCAACCCTGGATATTTTGTTGCTCGACTAAAAGCTCACAAATAATGAGATTTAAAATAAATCATCAGCAAAAATGATGCACAAGCTAGACATATACAGTAATATTTAACTTGATTTAACAAAACCAGCCTGGATCGACAAACAAGAAGATAACAATTCATTATATACCACAGACAGATCAATTGGAACACAACGCATAGAATTGACAATAATAACCAGGCCTACAGTACCTGTTTTCCAGCTCAATGTCATCGGAGTGTTGAATCAGTCCAACTCCCCGCTTTCTTACTCATCCTTTGTCCTGACTCCTGAACCCTGAAACAATACCTTCTTCTATCCCTTAGAGTTCCTCCCCTCTCTCCCTCACATCTCTACAAATTCTATGAACCCTCGTAGACATCTCTCGTACACTCTCATAAGCCCAATAAAAACTTCATGCACAAAAATTCATGAAGGACCAAGTAAATCCCAATAAAAACTTTCACCAAAGATAATCCCCATAAATAAACCTAACTAGTACAAGAATTTGAGACAAGTAATCAGAAATTTCCAACGGATAAAATTCCATCAAACTCAAATCAATTTAATTCTCTTCCATTCGACAGTGTTTCTAAGGCGAGTGTGTGTGTATGTATATATATATATATATGCTAGAAGACAATCCATAGGGGCAATCTAATGCAAAAGTCAACTTAGGTAAACATTCCACAAATAATTGCTCTAACACTGACATTGATATTTCTTATAAACCTCATTAATTGTGCCATAAATCAAAATCTTGGTATATAACAAAATAATTCAACCACCAAGAAAATCAAGGATTAAAATTCCAATTTAGTCCATACCAAAGAGCACAAGCTAAAAAATTAAAGCTTAAAACAGAAAATGGAGATTCAAGTAAATTTCACCTCATCCTCTGCAGCGCAATGATAATTATACACAAGCTTCAAGAACTCAAACCGCCGGCGGAGGTCCACGATCAGTTCGCCACCATGGGACCCACTTGCCGCTACCGCTAGCGCTGCTGCCAAGCTTCTGAGCTCTGCCAGTTCCTCTCGCAGAGCCTTATGGAAAAGAATGAGAAAGAGAATCGGAGCGTCAACGAGTTGGAAGCCGGAGAGAGGCCCCGCCTCCGGAGGCGGCGGCGGGGCCAGTTCCTCCTCCTCCGCCTCCGTCGGCGCGCATTCCGGTTCGACGCCGCCCATTCCTCGACGCACTGCCACCAGCAGCCACCATCAACGGCGGAGAACCAAAAGGGAAGTTTCGGCATCGAAGCGGCAAAGGGCATTTAACGACTCTGTTTGTACCGAGACCTCTCTGTTCTTCAGTGGTGTCTCATCGCAATTTTTTAAGTTCAAATGTTTTAAAATAATTTTTTTGAGTCTAATATTTTTAAATAATTTTTTTTAAGTTCAATTTTTAAAAATATTTCGATTTGGAGCTTTCTTGCCACCTAGGCTGATTGGGACGTTATACCTAACCGTCAGTTGGCGCGAAGCTTTGGTGTTCCCTCTGAGGAAAGGATTCTTATTGGCTGTGTGTAACAGCTGCATACCCACCCATACACACTTCAACCCTCATTCAAATCGGATGTGGGACAAGTTTCACTTGTAACATTCTCCCTCATCCGAATTCACGCAACGCTCTCGTTGCGGTTGGATCACCCTTCTTACCCAGAGGCAGACCCAGACGCCTTCCAGACCGGACCCTGACACTGAATTAAGGACTGAGTCTGGCTCTAATACCAACTATAACGGATAGACGCTTGCCCATTTACCCAAAAACTCGAACTATTGGGTAGTACTGCATACCCACCTATTTATACACACTTCAACCCCTATCCAAATTCGATGTGAGGCAAGTTTTAACACTTTGGTACTTAGGGTTTGTTCCCAATTGAATAGACCAATGGTTAGAGACCACGTTGGCAGAAGGTTATTATATGGCTCCCAGACTATCCATTAGTCTCGTGTCAATCACCATTTGACACGTAAATAATTATATCAAAAATATGTAAAAAAAAATAATAATAATTTTCGTGTACATTTTTAATAGTGATTAATTGAAACCTTTAACCCTAAAACTATCTAAAAAAATTTCTTCCGCGTGAGGATTGTAAAGAGGATAGAAGATGTCCCACATGTGAAAAAACCTGTCTCAAGCGTTTTTGCAACACGTGGGTACTACATCTTTCTCAATTTTTACATGATACAATTCAAATATTTGTGTAAATTTAAAATTTGTTTGGTTCAATTTTATTATATAATTGTTGAGAGTTACAACAAAGAAAAAATAATGTTTAGATAACTCAAAATGATGTCTATCAAGCACTAGCTACAGAATTTTTTAATTATTTATTTCAAATTTTCTAAGAACAGAAAATTGTTATCAATAAATTGAATCATACTAAAGACTTTGGCCAAGATGCAAAATTCAAATTGAGAATTATACTAACTGAGGTATAATACTGTAATACATTAAAGAGTTGAGCCATAATACTATAATAACCTATTTCAAATAATTGTTCCTTTCTTTGAAAAATTATAAATAGTTAAGTACAAAATATCAAATAATTTAATTTTATATTACATAGTACTATGACACTAGCACATACTCCCTAGTATGTAGTACCAAAAGACTGCACTAATTAAAATCAAATATTATCTTTATTAGATGAAAAAAAATTTACACACTTTCATTACACCGTGTAATAAGAGTAATTAATTGTTTATTTCGACGCATGTACTGCAAATATTACACAAACGATTCACATGTTCCTATTATACAGAGACTAATTTTTTTCCTAACATTCCTTCAAATAATTGAATTATTATCATCATGATTTTTATCTTTTATCTAGTGAGTTATATAAATTCTCATTTTTAATTTTTTTAATCAAACAAAAAAAACAGGTGTCGGTTTATTTGGGCGAGTTATCGAATTTGGTACTCTCGGCGAGTGGTGAATGGGTCAGACAATTTGTACCATGTAATTTGTAGTAAAAAAACGACGAGAAGCGGCCTCGTCCACGGCGCCCCTATATTTGTCATCACGTGAGGGGAGGGGGTGGGGGTTGGTAGTTTCTTTCGTCGGCCCATGTGCGTGTGGAGCTGCGGCTCGGCACGTGTCTTCCTCGTCCTCCCACGTGCCTGCCTTGTGTTCTTTGACTTGTGGTTAATTTTCTTATTTGGGCTATTGGTGACTCAGCTACTCACTCACAGTTAAGTGAAGATTGTCCCTCCATTGACCCATTTGACTTTTATTAACAAAACCAATGACATCCGGTATGGCCTTAAACTGGCGAGCTGTAACAAACGAAGGCTCCCCAGTCCCCACATTCACACAAAAAAAAAAAAAATCCTCTTTTTTCTCTTAAAATTAATAGATGGTGAAGATATTATTTATCATTATTGGTCCCTATTAATCAATATAGGAAACATCAAAAAAAAAAAAAAAAAATTAGGGTTACTTCAGTTACATCCCTGAAGTATATCCAAACTTCAAAGAGACCCCTCCCAATGTTTGTAAAAATTCAGTCAGACCCCCTACTTTTTCTAACACACATCAGTCACCCCCTTCAGTCAACGGTCAAAACTGGTCAGAGTTACTTTTTGACGACATCAACAAAAAAGGAGCTTTTAATGTCCAGATTGCCCCTAAACGGTTCTATTTGGCTACAAACATTAACGGTCATGTTTGGCTTCAGGTTATAAAATAACTTAAATGTCCAGATTGCCCATGAAGTCCATGTTAATGCCCAGATTGCCCCTCAACTCTCTAACGGTCATGTTTGGCTTCTATAAATAGGAGATAGCTGGGCGCAATGTTTGGCACTTCCTCTCTTCCTCTTTTATATTCTCCTATTTAAAGTGATGTCTCAATCAAGCGTAAATAGTCATGAAGGTAGCAGTAGAGGCTATATACAGTATATGAACAAGATTTGTCATTGTGGGAATTTTGCTATGGTGAAGGTTACAGAGAATAACAAAAATCACAATAAAGGAATGTTGTATTATACTTGTGAAAATCAAACATGTAGTTTTTGGGAATGGTGTAACCCTATAAATGGTTATATTGCTGCTGTTGTTACTGGTGTTGGTGCTACTGAGGAGTATTCACCTGCAAATCAACTTCTACTTGAGGTTGTTGCTGAATTGAGGTTGCAGAGACAAGCTATGAATTCAAGGTTACAAGTTGTTGAAACAACTATTTTGTATTTGAAGATAGTTATATTTGTTTGCTTCTTGTTATTTGTTTTTGCTATTTATTTTAAATAAAATGATGCAATAAATATTGACCTATATTGAGTACAGTTACCATAGAAAGCATCATTAATCTATTACCACTGCACATGCATTACAACCAAAAAGCAAACATCACTACTACTGAAAAACCACAAAAAAAAAAACATAACCAATGTCAACCAAAACTTACAAGTTTCAAGTTTCAAACAAAGTAGGTCAATATTTAATACAAAAATCCTAATCCACTCAAGCATATTCAAGATTGGCTTGTGACCAACCCAATTGTTAAAGGATTTAATCAAATTGTTTGTGATATGGTCACTCTTTGATGTCTCACTATACCCCACCCTAGACCATATTTCCAAAGGCCTGTCCATTAGCCAATCATGAGCTTCTGTAGAAATCTTATTAATGTGATTCATTGCATCATTAAATTCAAGCTCATTGCATGATCTAGCAGCCTTCAAAAAAAAAAAAAAAATTCAACAAGAAGCTAGGATTATCCTTCCTAAAACTGTTAAACAAGTGCCTACAACATATCCTATGGCTTGCCTCAGGAAACAAGTTAGAAATTACAGCCTCAAGACCCTGAAATGCAAAATAAAATAAATTAAAAGTAATAATGAACAATTTAATAATGAACTATGTAATAATGAACAAGTTAAAGAAACAAAATTATACCTTTTGCATATCAGACATAATTATCCACTGTCTGGCTTGTGCATCTACACCAAGAATATCCTTCAAATTATCTAAGAAAAAAGTCCATATCTCATTTCCTTCACTTTCTACCACAATATAGGCAATGGGGAATAAACCATTATTGCCATCTAAGGCCACAGCTGACAAAAGCACTCCATCATGTGGGCCCTTTAAAAAACAGCCATCCAACCTAATGAATGGCTTGCAGCCTTTTATAAACCCAAACCTCAAAGCATCAAAAGCAATGAAAATCTTTCTGAATCTATTAACTCTATTGAATTCAACATCATAATAATCAATTGTGACCAAACTACCAGGGTTTGTCCTCCTAATTTCATTCCTACAGGAGGGCAGCAAACTGTATGACTTCCCATGGTTACCCTCAATCACATCCAATGCCTTTCTTTTTGCCCTATAGCATTGTTGTTTCTTTGCCCTAATGCCATATTTTCATGCAGTAAAGCTCTCAGACTTTCAACTGTCATTTGTGGGTTTTATTTGAGTTTGTCAAAAAACTTCTTTGCAATCCATGTAGAATTGGCTAATGGATTTTTATCACCCCTCACATAAGAATGATTGTCATTGTATGTTTTTATCATATAAGTCTTACAAGGCAATGGGGAGGCATGGATCCTCCATGGACAACCTTTGGCTTTGCAAACACAAGTTACCCTTGAACTCTCATTTTTGGTCTTTCTAATTTGAAACCCTTCTTGGATTGTATAATCTGTCAACACCTCTCTAAAATGTTTCACATTTTGAAACAACAAATATTGTTCTAGTTTTATAGGTTGTCCTTTCACCTTTATATATTCCTTTCCTTTGAAATTTTTATCCCAATCCTTGCTCTTTGATATATTTCTCTTTGGATATTTCACACCAATCTCTACACTTGAATCAGAATGTGCTTCATCATTTGACTCATAATCTGACAGGCCATCCGCAC